AAATTTGTACTTGCCACGAAACTCAACATAAGTTATTCCTACACAAAAGTGTTGAGTGCGTACTTTGAAATAAATACTGTGGAAATTAATTTCTGTCCAAGCGCAACTAAATGTCCACGGAAATTCGGGTGCCCTAAAGCTAAATTTTGCTTAAAGTCTATGTACTTCCCACAAGTAAATATTAATTATTTCCATACCAAAGTTAAGTTTGCACATGTTTAACTTTCGTGTAAAACAAATAATGTGAACGAAACTTAATAACCATACCTAAGCTAGATTAAACTTAAACGTTTAAGTTTGCACTTTGCAGTTGCAGTTATTGCCCGGCCTACAGACAGCGTATTGCTCTATCACATGACCAAGATTACGTAGGTAGCGTGTAGAGCACACTAGCCAATAACTGCGCGATATGTGGCCTGATTTAGTAGCCGAATACACTATAAAGCCTAGAACTGTTCAAATAAAACTTAATGCTAAAAATAGTATCATCTGAACACACAGTTATATAATAGCAGTAACTAAGTAACTAAGTAACAAATTAACACAAGGATACAATACAAAATCTGTGCAGTACGCACAATAAAAGGTGGAGTGAGAGGAACAGCTTCACCAAATTGAGTCCAATACCTGGTGCATTTTCAGAGCCACACAGTTATTGCTATTAATGGCCACCGAGATCGAGTTTGAATCTCACAGATTAGAATTTCTGTCGAAAATGTAATCAAGGTTGGAAGAATTTTAACCGTTTTACAGTAAATGTGGTCCACAATAACACTCGAGACACTCATCCCATGCCACGCCGCTACCTGTTTAGTATTTTACAACTTATGTCGGGCTCATTACCAAAGACTCCAATCAAAATTCGCAAAGTATAATCTTCACTGTAGCTTAGTCTTTTCTTGCGAGTGAAGATTTGGAAATTTGAAGAAATAAAAATCAGGTACGTTTTTCTCTTTTAAAGGGAGACAGTTAAACAACCCTAAAATGTCAACTTATAACGTGTGAATAATAACAAAATGTACAGACAGGCCTAATTTATCTTTTGTCACTATACTATTATTTGTGTTTTTTATTTTAAAAATTTAGTTTACTTGAATACAACAATATCAGTTCATAAAGGGTAAAAGTACATCAGAACTACGAATCACACCCTAAATTTTACCGTGCTAACGCACCCATAATGAAAGTGCTAAAAGAAGGTTGTCTAAGCATTAAAGAACTGTATGCGTCATTTCTTAATTTGCACCATATTCTTGGATCAAAATTATAACCTTTTCTGAAAAAAATGGCATCAAAGTTCATCTCTGTGAAAAAAAAAATGTGAAAAGAATTTAGGTCAAATTTTATTTTGTGACGATTTTGGTTGATTTTTGCAGCAAATTTTCGAATTTTCCCAGAACATTAAGGCAAACCTAACACTAGGTCAATAAAATAACATGCTGTAGTTAGATTATTAGTTTATAAACTAACATTGCTCAGAAAGAAATTTACAATGTAATTTTACACATTGTGCAATGATGTTTGTTAATGCATTTTTAGGGTATTTTTATAAAAAATCCATGAACTTTGTGGGTATATTTTCAGTGACCCTGTAGTAAACAAAGCCAACAGCACTCATTGACCTCCACCTATATGATAATTTGACTCCCTTTTTAGCCAAAATTGAATGTAAACAAATACGGTTTATGTATTACTAGTTTATGGAAAAACGAATCGATATGCCCCCATAACATGCATTTTGGTGGTCCAAAATGTCAAATAATTTGTTCCATGGTGGCGATAATAGCTACATTGTTTGCACTGTTAATTCATTACATGCCAACTATTAAACGAATATATGGAGAGTATGTTTCAGCATCGGTAGGCACAAGCCTGATATTGATGGTTAAAAACATTTGTAGGGGGGTAGATTAGAACAGTTTTACAGGTGATGTATTAACAACGGTTATATTAAATAAAATAATGTCCTTGAGTGACTAAAGTTTACTAATTGTGTACCATAGATTCTAAATATGACTGGGTTTAATAACGACTGGCTAACTCCAGTTTTATTGGTGCTTGTTTTCTCAAAGGCCCAGAACTCATGATTAATTGAGCTTTTAGGTGGCAGGCACAGGTGACATTTTGGCTAAATGGTGTGTATATAGTATTATATTTCAATCTCCCGCATAATATAATAAGTAATAAACATTGTAAATTCATCATATCCGCCAAAATATGTATTATATATATTGGATTCCAGTGAGTAGAGTCAAATTTTGGGCTGCTTTTATACGTAGACAAATCTGTAGCATCAGTGAAAAAATCCTTATGATCTGATTCAACTTCAGAATGTGAGGGTTGGATGTAAAATTTTTATTGTAAGTAAGAGTACAAAGGATTAGGTCAAGATAACGTCTAATGCAATTCTAGTTTTAACTTAGTTTTAAAAACTTGACTCAATATTCAACACTTAAGAGGGTGGTTCGTGGCCCGTAGGAGGTTAGACCTAAATATGATCTTAAGTCTCATTATATCATTATTATGTTTTTATGTATAGTTATAGTAAGACGTGGCGAAGAATTTATAACTATTTTTCTTATTCAAAGTGTACATATTAGTGAGAAATGTTTGAAGGTCAAAGTAAAAATACAAGAGTGACGGTTGATCGTCCAATCTATTTAAAAAAAGTAGTACAACTAAAAATGAAGCACAATTAGAACGGGAAGTAAGCTAGAACGCTGTGGCAGACCTCAAGTTTTGCACCTAATTTTAGTCTCTTTTTCATATTTGCACTAAAATTCAATTTGCACACAAAAAAACTGGCCGCTTAAGTTTGAGCTTTTGAAAAAATCTTTTGTTTAACTCTGATACAACAAATAATACAAAGAGTTGGACAATTTAGGGGCCTTATTTTTGTGTTTCGGTTAGATAAGATACATCTGAGAACTACGAAGTCTTAACACTCCATTTTAAATTGAACACGTATAGCTAACGGCTTACCTTCAATAATGCCAAAGCTGTAAACGGAGAAGGTGTTCTTAAAGATTATTATATGGAGCAGCTTTAAGTGTCGTCGGATGGTTCTTAAGTGTGGGGCACCATTATTTCTTGAGCTACACATAAATTATATTCCTGTACAGCAAACAAAAAGTGGCATCAAGTATCGGCAATAAAATACGGGAAATTTATACGTACAACAGATAGCTCCAGTTGGATCATTGGTATTCATAGTAGTTGACGTAGCTGTATAGATTGATTGATTTCTTGCAGCCATAATTTTAATCGATATTTTTCCAGCAACATTAAGGCAATCCTAAACCAAACTTTTAGATGACGGTCAAGTTAAAAAAAAATTGCTCGAGCCTTAAATAATGACGTTATATAACTCATTTATCAGTATAAGACAGTATTTTTAGACAGTTTGTAATTATGTACACAATATGAAGTTCAATGATCGTCCTCTGTTCAATAACGCATGTACTAAGCTAAGGTGCTACCTATTCTGTATAAAAAATCCCAGTGTAAAACTTGGTAGTGCAGTGTAGGTTACTTATACAGTGTAGTCCCTGTGCAGCTAAAGCAATATATGGAACAAGCACTGCCAATTACTCTCCAACACTACCTTTCATGTTTAACCTTTTGGGAGACCATCACGTACATAATTTTTACCAAGAAATGACATTGTATCCAAATGTTACGAGTCCTAATATCATTAGCTAGAGCACTTTATAGCGAAGAAGACGAATCAACTGCCACCGCGCATACACTGCATACATGTAGGTGGATCCACAATGGTCACAATAATTGTTACCTCCGCAGATATATTCCACTACATTGTTACATGACATGTCTGACAAATTTCCATTGTAGCCACCTGCCTGAAAATGTCTGTACAAACGAATATATGGAGAGAGTTTTTACTGTTTCACAATGCGGGGCCACCAGACTGTCACTCATTAGCGGGTGTATTGTTAACAACCTTCCGTACACGCCGCAGGGGGGTGGTATTTGGGAGATACTGGAGGTTTACCAGGTTAAAATATCATCTAACAACAGGGTTACTAGGTTAAAATGAGGCCATCCCGTCTCCTTGCTGTGCCACTCACAAATTTGTAAACATAAATGTGTGCTCCAGCATGAGTTCTATGAAAATATCCCAGATTCTAAGAAGCTAAATAACCGTAACGTGTATCCTAAGCCTAATAACACAGTGACACTAAAATATATCTAGGTGTTAATTTATCAGTGAAATACGGGTTGCCACACCGAAACCTGCGATGTATTTTCAAGCTGTTTCACAGGTAATGGCATGAGAAACAATCATCATCGGTTTGCGATAATAATAATCGGCTAACATTTGTGCTGTGCATACTACGTATTATATTTAAAATGAGGACTGCAGACTAATATAATAAGTAATAACACTGTGATATTCTGCATAATCCGCATAAATATGTAATTATATTATTTTGGATGTGACCAGTGAGTAGAGTCAGTAATGGTCACGTGACTGTATAACGTAGACTGCAATCTGGCAAGACATCACCCGAGAAAATCCTATTAATCTGATAAACTTCAGAAATTAGTTGGGGAGTAAAATTATTTCATTGCCTACAGTATACGAAGTACATCAGGGATTAGTGCGCAACGCGCAGTAAGCGCGTACACCTGGCATGGGGTTGACAGCACAGTGCTTACACTCATGTGCTCAGGAGGAAACTTTAGAGGAGCTGTAATACAATAGTTAGGTTACACATTCAAACTCAGATTCATGATTATCCTAGACCTAGGCTTCTTGACTTTCTAGGATATTCGAAGGGCAATTATAGTCGGGCGGCAGGAGTAGGCGCGTACGCTGGAGAACAAAGAAACCAGATTGCTTTGACCGATGGTCAAGCGCGCACTCATCATCTCATTCCACATTATTCCTTACCTGTGTAATTTAATATTGAACATTTGCCCCATCATTCTGAGGTCATTGTCGACATTAAGTTATAAAATAGCCCAGAAATACTCACCCAAGTTGTTGTAAAACTCGGCAAACATGTTGAGGAAATCCCTGAATTCTTCAACCGAACTAAGCGCAAGAGTAATCTTGTTCTTGGTTCGGGCTTGCGTGTTGACCTGGCGGGAACAAAATTAATTCAGCGACACTTCTCCGTTTTTAAAGGAGTTTATAAATACAAAATGTAAGTAAGATCGTCCTGACACACGGATTGTATAGTTAAGCACAAAATACTACGTGAGTGAATGTCATGATGTGAAGCATCTCTTAATGGTTAGAGTCGATCCAGAAGCAAGCAAGTTTGAGAAGCTTTTAAAGTGGCGTTATATTCATTAGCCTCATAGAATGCTTTTAGGCCAATGATGGTATGTTATGATGTGTCATGCTTGGTTGAACTTGGAGTACACTGGATTCCGTATGTTAAAAAACGCGTACTCAGAGGGAAATTTGAGTGATTAGTAACGCCAGAATATAGCAACATTAGCGGGGCCTTACTACTTCTTAGCCTTGCAACGTTTAGAGTTATCACCTGGTGTGTAACCCATAACATTGGGAAGGTTAGAATGAGGGTTACAGATCGCAAACATTGACCAAATGGAGGAGAGTAATGCCGCAGCTTGTTAATCTTTACATGCTAGCTCAACTTAGCATAATTCATACGTGATGGGGGTGGTTACCATCAAAACAGTGAAAACGGAACTCAGCAAGAACAAACCTCAGTTATCTTGAGGAACCTCCCCCGGTTGTTCTCCTTGACATCTAGGTAGAACCGCTTGTTCTCAGACTTCAAAACCTTCGTTTGCAAGTCTGATAATATAACGTTTTAGAAGAAATGAACGCCATTTTGTCGGCCATATTCGTATCAAGGATAACGACAACATTGCTGATTCGAATAACGAGCAAATGAGTGTTCCATGAGACTGCCAGTCAAATAGAACATTCCCGAAAGTAAAGCTTGGACAAACCCTGTGCGTTGAAGGAATCCTCGGCGCTCATATCTCCCGACCACCCTCAGTATGAGGACGTGAAATACAGACGCGAACCAAAGCAACCAGAGTTCACACGATCGTTATGCAATTCGCATATTACATTAATGCACTCCTTCACCAAATTTATTTAGCGCGCGGTCAGGATTTAAATTCTCAGATACAAAAGTTTCTTAGTGCGCGGCGCGAATTTGAATATAGGATTTTGATTGTGATATTTTTTATTAATTTTAAATGAAAATATTGTAAAACAATATGTATTGAATATCTTAGATAATTATATTTTTATGTATCATTTAATTAATATATGATCACCATTTGCTTGTTATCTTTAGACTGCATCCGTATTCCGCGCGGCTCTACTAAAAAGCGACTGCTTAGGTATTTATGGCTTGCCGCCTCGCTTCATCGATCCTCCGCAAAATATTTTGCGCATTTTCGCAGTGAAACACATGGTTTCGATTTGGTGGCAAGAAATTACACCTATTTGTTTTCTTTGGTTTTACTGTGTTTTATAGTGTTCATGCGCAGATGAGGCTTCAGCCCTTAGTTCGATATGTATCCTGAACTTGAACTGACTACATAAACACGCATTGGTGCGATTAAATGGTGAATGAAACTTTGTAGAAGGCAGATTCGTGTAGATTTGATTGATCGGAACGGATTTCATGATGACAGATGAAGGCACAGAGATCGAATCATCAAAAGATTGCTCCACTCAGACTTTCGGGCTGGATAAAGAATTTTTCTCATTCAACATTCCACCCAAACTGAAAAGGGTGGATGTGAGATGTGGGACAAGTTTGGTTGATGGGTTGAGGGAACATGTCCCGTCACCTCTGGCAACCACAGTCCAAGGACCAGGCCTAATCGGTCATGTATCATCTGGAATTGATCTACCTACAGATACTTCATGTTATCCAAACTATACTTTTGCTCACCCTGATCATGGTATGTTTCACTTTTTGTTTAAGAACTTTAAAGCTGGATTGCTGCTTGGGTTTTCTTGTGTGGAGTGTTGCTATTGTAATTATCCTCAACAGTCATCATGAACTTCTTTTAGGTTGTTACGAAACTGACTCCGACGCTCGCAGTAAATCTTTTATTAAGCAAGAAAATCAAGACTGGCTCGGAAATTGTCAAGGTGAGCAGCTACTATTTTCTATTGATTACCAAAACGTTTATCATTTTAAAAAGTTTACGTATAAAAACCTAAAATTATATTCTGAACTACCAATCTCTATATGTTCAGTGTTTTAAGCTAATTATTTATCTGTCCTCAGCGATAAACAACTTGGCGCTGATAAGAGAGCAGACCAGACTAGATTTGATTCCGTGCCAACAGTTTTCACAGTCTTTTAACTCACCACCGGTTACAATTCAGGTTATATATCTGCCTCATATCAATTTCATATGGTTTTGGCTGTCTCTAAAAATTTGAAATTCTGACCACAAATTTCACATTTAAATCAAGTGCTATGTAGTACTGTCTGTAATAGTAATAGTACTGACAACAATTTTAAATCTAAAAATATGAATTTCTAAACGTGAACGACCAGTTTTGATTTTTTGGAAACGCTCGTAGCTTTCACATAACACAAGTTTCATAAATTCAATAAACTGTAAAAACTTGTTATTTTAAAATTAGCTATTTTCTGTCGGATTTTATTAACTCCTCCCTCCAGGAGATGTATCCGGGACTACAAAAAGTTTTCCTAAAACCAGTGTTCTCCTACGCTTGTCTTATAGCTATGGCTCTTAAACATAGTTCAGACAACAGGCTGCCTGTAAACGAGATCTACAACTACATGCAGTGAGTTTACCTACTGATTTACTGATTATTTGTTACATTTATTTCATTTATTTACTCACGATTCTATTTATTTTTTCCAATTTACCTCCTGAGTCCCTCTTCTGTACGTCTATGCCAGTTAATCCACCAAAACAGATCCCTGAATCCTCTCCTTGCTATAATACGGAACATTTCACTTTGTTTATTTTACCGCCAGTTTCGCCCTGTTGTAGACAATATCAAAACCAAATCAGCTAATTCGATCTCGTCCACACGTACACCTACTACCCCAGGTACAATGGAATTTGTCAGAGAAGTGTGTGAATGTAGCGAGATTGTCATATTTTCAGAATGTGTCCCAGTTTGAGTGTACTTGTTCCCATTACCTTGAGAGTAGGAAGTGGAAGTGAGAATTTGGGCGCTGGCCCCGGCTCGGAACTAAAACAAGCAATTGTTACTCTCCGTAAACTTTGGAACGTTCAGATTTAGCCAACGAAACGTCTCTAGGATGGGAGTAATTGATGTTTTTAAAATATTTGAACTTTTGGAATTTGTCTCATCTGATAAATATTAAATCTTACGGATTTCCCTTATGGGCTATGCTAAGAAGTACCGTAAACTTCAGATGTGATATCTACTTATCAGAACTCCTCAACTCCGGGATAGGCTGTGAAAATTGTTCACGCTTCTTAAATGTCTTTTTTAGAGAACTGCGCTTGTGAAGGGACTCTGCTTAACTTTAAGAGGTAAAAGCTAGATACCTAATCATGATGACCTAACCATATGGTACCCATGTTAATAATTTATCACATGCATAAACCTGTTTACAGACTAGGTGACGCTTAGTAACACGTCAATACATTAGTATTTCAGTTTTAAAGTGGTGTTATTTTAGCGAGTATTCTAAACGAAGCTGTGACGCAATGTTACTCAAAACTATTTGATAAAGCAGAGATCAAGTTCGAAAGTTAGAAACACTCGGTGAACTGCTTGCTCAGAAACTATGCGCTCTTTCGTAATATCAGTAACATGTTTACCATGTTTGATGTTTTCCAAATTATGAAAAAGATCATCTCTACTTTTGCTACCTATGTTAGTTAACTGGCGGACAAGCCACTGAAATATTCTGAAAGATATCTCCCGCAAACATTAATTGTGTGGCCCACTTCTGTAGCTGCTTTCACATGTTATCTTATACCATTATAACTAAATGATTCGCACACAGCACTCCTTACTTTAAAACAGGTGGCAGGTAATTTCACGATATCTCTTTTTGATCTTTGGTTCCTCAAAGTAAATGAACTACTTATGCAATATGAAATTGATATGGCATCTAATTGTGATCTTTCCCGCAAGAAATCTGCAGTTATTCTTGGAGGTTAATGTCAAGTAGACATAAATCCTGGAGAAATGCATTATATCTTAAAGGCTTTGCAGCTCTGATATGATGCGTGATCCTTATTTAAGCCACATTTTTGCTCTTTCTTGACAACCACATGCCGATCTCCACTTAACACTTGGTGAGCAGATGCTAGTTGATTCTACACCTTGTTATCGTATTAACAGTACTTGGTTCACCAGTACTCCTCATTTAACAGGTTCCTCTACAGGATGTTTCTCAGATATATCACTGTAAGCTTTGAATTGGTTTTACAGTTTATTGAAAGCGTTAAAAAACTGTCCGTAGCAGGGAACTCACACAACATAAAAACATCTTATAACATCTTATGCAACAGTGTCCGCCTGTAAATTAATTTTCGCTCCGTAACCACATTGTGTTTACCCGTTTCAGTTAGTTCTATTAGGAAAATTATATAAACTGGAGAAATCATCAGTAGGCCAAGGCAGACTAATATACAAAATATTTTCTTTGTTTTATAACTATTTTTTGTTTCATATCAATTGTAGTTGCCAGATTGATGGTAACTGCCGAGTTGGTCTTACTGAAACTACAGTCCTTCTCTCTCTCGAGGCAACTTAGAAAAAGTTTACAATTGTATGGGAATTATGGGTGGATACAATTCTTAGCTAGCCTGTTTCAAATATATGATGGCCAAGAAACTAACTTTCCTTGTGTTTGCTATGAAACAGATGATACAGTACAATACAAGCTGGAGACTGTTATCGTAATGTTATCGGTATGTTACGTAATTCAAATGCGATTGGTCAGTGATGCCAAATGGCGTTTGCTTCTAAACAAAATGATTATTCTCTAATCAATCAGTAGAACTTTCAATTACCGAAATTTTACAATCTATTTCTTATTTTATTTTCCCTGATACAATTTGCACAAATATTTCGGGGTCAAAATTGTACATACCGGATATACGACCGATCTAGAAATGTTCCCAACCGTTGCCCATTTGTGTGCAAACCATAAATAATCGGATGTCTTTGAAAATGCCAGCTGTGTTATAAAATATCTCACCCTCCAAAACACTCTCTTTAATTAAGAAACTTAAAAAAATTAAAGTATTGATTAAATAAACAGCCAAAAGCGTTGATTGATTTTGATTGAGTGAGAGTAGATTAGGTGACAGCAAAGAAGATTCTCTAACCAACTCTACGATGGTAACTAAATGATGAATCCTCTTCTTGAATAGCGTAGATGTAATAATATAAATGCGATGAGAATGAATGAAAGTACGTATACAGGGTGTGACTTTAAAATGTAATTATTTATCTACAATTTAAAACAAAAATCGAACTGTTTGTCTTATTTGTTAGATTCTAAGAGCCATTAAAAATGTGGTCACGAGTCTTGAAACACCCTGTATATTGTAAAACAGGTTAGCATCGACTCATCAGTTTCGGCCATATCTATACATAGTGCGCAAATATTCTTACGGAAGTATTATCTACTCACAGAAATGTTTGGACTTAACAACCTTTACCACCTCCTTATTAGGAGATAAACATAACATTACAATCGAGCACCGTCATCACACACGTGAACTTCTGTAGCAATCATTCGGAAACCACTTATTATTGGGAAACATTTTAAAAAGGCGTGGCCGTTTTATTCGACTTTTCACACTCACTAGCTATCCTTCAATTTTCTGGATTACAACTGGACGAATGAGGAACACCAAATTCCTTAAAGCAAGAGTGGGCGTCTTTCTTCAGCTTCACCGACTGTTTCATGTTTACAACAAACCTTCACGAGAGGAGCTAACATCAACGTTATCCTGGATCTGAGGAACCCCCTAAAGCTTGCTAGAGTAAGCGTGTAGATATAGAAGTTGGCCAGGGCATTGACAAGGACTATGTATGTTGAGAACCGATAGAAGTCCACCTGCCAAAAGATGTACTGATTTTCAGCCATGAATTCACTGGCTAGCAAATAGACAACTGCTGGAAGAGTAGCTATAGTGTAGACTGCTACTGTAAGGAGCACGGTCACCAGTCCTCGCCACTGAAGTTTTCCCGGCCCTCTTTTAGTGCTTCTCTTGGCTATAACAATTATCATGATACTGCTGACAAGAGTAATCGTGATAGCAATGAGTCCGACTGACCCAACAAAAACAGTACATATGATCCAAACTGCATCTTGATGTGACCGACTGTAGTCACAATTGTAGTCAAGGAAACTGAAGTAAACACCATGCTTCTCCGTTACTACGAGTACCACCGCTGGGAACAAGGAACATAGCCACAGACACAGGGTGGTGAAATGTGCTGATTTAGTAGAAAATGTGCACGCTCTCAGAGGAGATCTGACTATCCGAAACTTTGTGATTGAGAGAACACTGATGAGGAGACAGAAGGTTCCCCCCACAGTAAAGGTGACACAGTACTCAACATAACAGAGGTACTCACCGAAGATCCAACTGTTTGCCACCAAAGAAACGGAGCCAGGCAAGACTCTGAAGATGACGAGTATTATATCAGTAAGTGCTATGTACCGGATGAAGACCACCATGACCTTGTGTAGTTTGATTGCTTTGTATCTGCTAAGGGATCCGATGAGTATGAGAATGTCTCCTATCAATGAGAATAGAAGTATGGTAGAGCAGTATGAAGTGAGGAGCAGTCTTTCTGTTTTGTCATGGATTCCAGAGATGGTGTAGTTGTCGTATTTAATCTGCAGGTTGTTTCGCATTTTGTCTTCTCACTGAATGAAGAGAAATGTTGATAGTAATGGATGATTTGGATATTAATATACATGTTAGAAGTAAGTAATATGAAACAGGTATATAAGTAGCACTGAAACACTTTCTTTAGTTTAAGAAATGATTAAATAGACAGACAGCCAAAAGCAATTAATTTAGCGTGAGTAGGTGGAGAGAGCAAAATAGATTCTCTAGGCAACTCCGAGATGGTAACTAAACGATGAATCCTCTTCTTGAATAGCGTAGCTCTAATAATATAAATGCGATGAGAATGAATGAAAGTACGTTTATATTGTAAATTGTAAAACAGGTTAGCATCAGGTGACTGTATCCCAAGTTTCTGCTGTATCTATGATGCGCAAATATTCTTACGGAAGTATTATCTACTCACAGAAATGTTTGAACTTACCAACTTTTTATCACCTCCTTATTTGGAGATAAACAAGGCATTACAATCGAGCACCATCTGTACCGCACGAACTTCATATATGGGCATCTGTTTGAAGCACGTGTCACAATAATTAATAATAATGGTAGATTGAAGTTTAATGACTCCTATTTTAGGTTATACTCTTCAGTGTTACGTCAGAGATCTTTAAATTGGGTGCAAACCTCAGAACAGGCAGGGTTATTTTGAAATAACGCTTTATGATACATTATAATAAAGTTACAGTGACTCAATAGGTGAAACAATTAGCTCGCTAGTACGAGTAAGAATAAATTTGGGGAGTCGTGAGTGGCCTACCAGTGCTTTATATTATATTGTCCCCGGCCCGCTCAATTTATCACCTGGCAATCAACAATTAAATTAAAATTACACACATTTTGATCGTTCCTAATGTTTGTTTTGTCTTTGTATAAACAAATATATGATTCATTTAAAGTTTTGTGTAGTTTGTGTTTATTGTG